TGCGTGATGATTTTGAAGGAAAGCTTTTAAATCGTGAATAAATGTCCAAAGACCAAACTCATAGTCACATTATTGGGAAACCCAAAATGCACTTAAGTCATACCCAATTCAGAGGAAAGCCATTGCCAGTAGCCCTTCAATAAATCTTCTTCACTATTAGTAGAGGACGACTCTCTGAATATTCATGAAAAGCGATTTGACCATTTCATTGGGTAGCCAATGCTTGATTTGCTTGCAATGCTAACTATCTGATGATTCCGTAAGTTGCTAATCCTAGAAATTCCCAAACATTCTAAACCCGCTAAGCAAAGCTAAATTTTTCTTTGCTCTTGTCAGCGGAATAAATCAATACATGTCCTCAAGCTTTTTATGGTCGTAATGCGCATTAGTGGTCCTTAAATTAATTCGTACAGATGACAAACGTGAAATGTACTTCTTTGACTTACTCGCTCTTACATATCTAGACTGCGAGGTGTTGCACAAGGTCGAACATGCATCATACGCTTGAATGCGGCTATTATGAGCTCACTTTGTTATGCTTGTACATGTTGTTGCCGCATTTTGCCGCTTGTGCTCTAAAACTTGACGCTTCGTAACACTAATGTTGTCTATGGTTGTCAGCTTGATGGGCTTCACGGACTTCATCAATGACTTTGAGATGCATCATTTTTTAAACGTCTTTTTCTATAATTTCATATATAAAAATACTGAGTTAACAATTAACCTTCTTTTCCGAAACATCTTGTGTTCTTTTCAAACTGTTCAGTATCCTACTAGCATGTTTATATTACTTGACATGTTTTGCTGAATTAAAGCTTCTGCTTGGCTAGCTAAAACTATCGGCTCTTACGAATAAATGTTGATTTTCGACATTTATATCTTCTCATGAAATAGTTGTATAACAAGAATCAGCATACATTTCATAAATGATTAGGTCAAATTTTCACCTAATCTTCTCACTAAAAAAGGCAAATTGAGTCTGCTGATCCAGTGAATAGAAAAGTATTATATAGCAAGATTTTCAGTGCTTAATTATGATCATGTTCTTCTTTTTAATAGCTTTTTCTCATTTTAAAATATGGGTTTGCTTTTAAAATCTCACATAACTCTCCGAACACATATGTAGTTATCAGTATGTAATCCTCGCAAAATGGCAGCTTGCTCGCCACCACATGATTAACATGGCTGTATGACGGAAACTGTACGGAAGAAACATGATCTGGAGGGGGAGGCAGAAGTTGGAGGCATCGACGCCGGCTGCCGGCAATAGCAGCGGCAGCCCTGAGGGGAGTGAGTGAGCGAGGCTAACAGCGCGGCAAAGTGGCGATTTGGCAAAGTCATTATGCGAAACCCGACACCGCAAAGCGCCCCGAGCCCAACTAGGAGCTGGTCTGTTGATAAAATCCTTTCTCACGATTTTCTTCTAACTGTTTTCTGCACATCTTGTATACTCAGTCGACTCCTACTACGTTCAGTTCAGCCTCTATTCTAATTACAAATTTAAAAAAGAGTGGAGAGCTGCATATCAAATTTCTGCCTCTTTTTCTACCGCACGTGGTGCATGCTCAGCTCTTAGTAAAGGGTGATCTCAATTTCCAATGGACCTGCGTTCCTTCGTCTGTTTGTGAATATCCTGGATTGCTTCATATTTGACTACAACTTCTATTTTGCTAAATTTCACTACTAGTGTACAAATACCAACAGTACATGTTAAGCAAATTAAAATCAGTCCCTGCTTTATATTCCAAACGGTTGCTTGAAACACTTTTTCATTTCCAATTACCGTTGATTATTCAGTCCCTTACATCTAAATTCTCATCAACTAGCCCACATAGCAGCAATCTAGCACCTTGTGCCTCTTAGGATATTTCTCAATTGCGAAAACTTTATTGCAAGATAAAAAGAAGGGTTCACCATTGATCGTGAATCGTACCTAATTTAGTAGGTCTCTTTAAGATTATGATTTTATATGCTTTTTCCCATATATCTTCCTCTACAATGATGCCCTATCTATGGTATGCATTATCGAATTTTCAACAGCTCATATAACTAATTTTTAATGCTTATCCGTTGCTTCCACATGAAGTCATGACTTTCTTCCTAAAGAGTTTCTCTATGTCTCATGATTATTTGACAGAACTTGCCTTGTTTTTATCTCTTTATGTTTCAAATATTCGATTCGAATTCGTTAGGGATTCCGCTTCCATGTATCATTCTATGTCAATTTGAAACTGCACATTTGCTGGAAATTATGAGTTTATAAGATACTTGAATGAATTTATGGCGTCGAATAGATCTGCTCATAACTCTTCAGTGGCTTTCGTTGGTAATTTATGGGTTTTTGGTGTATTTCTGAGTTATGGACTTCTTAGTTACTATACTATGCCAGTCTATAGAGTTCTGTGACGGCTGTTTAATTAAACTTTCACAACATCTCAAACTGTGTTTATTTTTTCTAAATGAACTATTGATCGTAGCACAGCTATTAATAATATAATTGAGACTGTCAGGCGCTGTTCTTTTTTCCTAAATATATTGAATTATAGTTCGCTTTTTCTCTCACTACCATAGAAAACTTCATCCTTTGTACACGTCTGCTTCATTTCCGGTCATTGGGTGTTGTATTTTGCTTGTTTAGAGCGTTTCGTCCTAAGAAATCAATGTTGACGCGCACATCATAAAGTTTGCTTCGTTATGCGTTGTCTAGTGGAGAAGTTTTTTCTCGTTGTTTTCTGGGCTGGAGTAATCAGATGCGCTTCAACGCAGTAATACAAAGCTAGTCACATTTCAAGCTACTCCTTTCTTGTTATTCGCTTAGCTAGAACCCGTTGAAATTGAAAAATCTATTAGAGTCTGGAAAAAAAAAACGCTAGAGAATGAATCAGTATCAACTAGTTTTTTTAATGAGGCTGTGCAGGAAAAAAATTAGAAAATCTACATTTTTAGAAGCTTTCTAAAAACGCTCAAAAGCGAGGGTTGAGTAGGTGCATTTCTTCATAGTGATGAGTCATTTCTATAAATAATGTTGTAGACCCACATGGTTTTCAATATTCCAATTTATTTGCGCATAAGATTTCATGCTATTCGCCCTCCTCTTTCGACTGACACAAAGCTCCCACGGTGAATGCAGCTTTATGGCTCATGCTTGCAAGGTCAGTGTTCGCAATGCGGCATTTTCATGAGAAGATGCCAAAAACCGGCAAGTGGATTCCATACAAATGTCGGCCTCATCTACTCAGTCTAATGATGGGAACGCGACATTCACTGTCATATTCTCTGGAGATCAATATGTTGCTTCTGTCTTGATTCGTTTCTTTTATGATCTCCTCCACATCCATGCTGTGGTGTGTTACCTTGGAATCACCAGACATTGATTCCTCTGCAGGCGTGCACTTTACAACGTCGCTATTATTCCAAAATGAGCTCTCACTCATCCATGTTCCATTCCGGGGTTCGCAAACGAATCCACAACGTTATGTTAGTTTTCAAATGTTCGCTCAAAAAGATTTCTCATCTTGTTTTCTGTACTCTGTTACCCGCCTTCCAGATTTAGTTCGAGCGTGGGAAGATTCCATTATCCTTCCAGATTTTTCACAGTTAGATTGAAAGATTAGGTATTTTCAAGCACGCTATCATTTGGTTCGGCCTCCTCAGTGCTCGAAATTGTTTTGGTCGTGCTTGAGGACTCGAAAATTCGTTGTGCGTCCCGCTTCGCTGCCGTTCGCCTAGCCGATGTCCATTTCACATAGCCAGAGAGTGGATTTCTTCGATGCTGGTGTTATAGCAATGGCTGAGCAGCAATCTGCGCTAGCTACGTCGAGCGGCGACGTCCTGGAGCAAGTAATTGTGCGCCGCCTTCCGGTCTCGGAGCACCGCTGAAAATAGGAGCTCAACTTGTTTACACAATTTCCTCAATTCAATCTACCAATAGGGCTTGCTCGCTAGTTTCGTGCTCGCCCCTGCACCAGGTTTTCAGCCTTGTGTGATCCGCCTGAGTTCTTTTTTCTTAATACTCTTCTTATATCCAGACGCCTTGGCAGCATGTCTGCGCGGCTAAGTGATGGAACGTAGACAACTAAGGTGTGCTGCACTTGCGCGAGGACGCATGCTCTTATCTTTCGAAATGCGCTACGGGAGACAAAGAAGTTTTCCCAATATTCTTTTGTCTGACGTTGTCGGGCTCTCTATTTCAAGTCTATACACAAGTTAGGAAGCTTAGAACTCATGCCATATATTACTTTTCAAAGAGTGGCGGATTGCGGTTTTATTGCACGAAATGCGTAGCTGAAACAGCCTCATATTTAGTCCATCCAAAAAACTGTAACATTAAAGGATTTTGTCAAAGTGCAAAGGCTTAAGGCTATATACTTTCTAATAACGCACAGCTGACGTTTAATATATGTGTACTTGAAATTCAAAAAATGTCGTAAAAGCTTCCTGTTAGATTATCATGGCGATATTGTGGGATACAGTATCTCCCTTGAGTTCATCACGAAATCTTTGAAAAGTTTCTTTTTTTGAACTTGCAGTTTTCGAATGACAAGAGATTGGTGCGCATCAAAGAGTAGTAGTTTGTTTCTGCTTCCAATTTCCCACATTTTTAGTAGGCATAACAACCTTGAACTTACTTCACTTTTTCATACGTATAGGTGTTACTCCAATACTGAAAGCAGTGTCTTCGTTTCTTCAAAAAAAAATTCCTTATGTAAACGAGAGTACGTGTTGAGGCTTGGATATTTTAGCCTTCAAACCTTTCCGCCAATCTCAATCTCTATTATTTTTTGAATAGTGTCTCTTCTTATATGTTACCGAATATATTTTGGGTAGTACAATCGTCTTTTTTTAGGCTGGAAGCAGACTTTTGTTGGTAATAAATGCTGTTGCTTGATGCGCTCACATTTTGATCCAGTCACCTAACAGTATGTTCAATCGCCATATTTTTACATATGTGATTTCTTTCATCCACTAATCATGTGTATTAGGCTTTTTTCTGTTTACAGATGCTACAGCAACCAGTCCCTGAACTGCGCAGCTTTCAGTCGCTTTCTAAATATGCGGGAGGTCCGAGGTGAGAGTTGATTGTTTAATATGGTGATGGCACACCTTTTTATCTTGCTGGACGTCCTTAGTTCTGTTCCACTTCAGGTCAGTTCTTGGGCGCCGTACATCAAATGTCGCAACGCGCCGTCCGTCGCAGACGAAGAAAAGATTCGACGACCTCGAGGTAACTGGGAAATCGTCTGAGACTTTCTCAATTATTTTATCTAGTGAAAGGAGAAAATTAGATCCATCACAAAAAATTTTAGGCAATTGGATCGGCCAGTGGTTCCAGGGAGACTGTGTCCGAGTTGGGGAAGGTGAGCAAAATTTGAGACAGAGAAGCTCCGTTCTCATTTTTTGATATCCATATCATCTTACGCCACTCGTGACACCACTTCTACAACTCCAGATTTTTGTGTTTTTTCCTAACAGTTCAAGTGCATATATGATCGTGCTGCAATTTGGCATGCATGCATGTACGACGTAACATTAAAGTTGTTACAGAGTACTTGTTGCGATTTTCTGCGCTAACAACTTGTGAAAATTAGCACTCTGGACCTTTTTGAGCACGTTCACCTGTTAAGCATTTTTTTTTCCAGCAAGGACCCTCTATTGAACCCTCCACATCGCGATGGGAAAAGCAAGTGGAGTGGGGAGACGAGGAACAAATCGAGGATTTGGATGACTTGCCCTATCCCGGGTGGGTTTTCCTAGTCAACGTGTTATTTAGCGTTTTGAAAGAGAAATCTACCGATATTCGATAACTTATAAGGTGACTAAATTATGCATTAGGAGACTATGTATGAGAAAATTTTGAAATGCAACAAACTTTTTGGTTTGAATGCCTTCTGTTGCACTGTCTATGAACTATAAGAGCGTAATTTATATCTCGTCCTTTTTATTGCTTGAGTGCACTTGATAGTTCAAACATTTTCTTCCAATCGAGTAGATAAGTGTATGGGTACACTGGTCATTAATTTTCAAAAAATTTTGTACTTTTCATCATTTAAAAATGCAACAAAAGTAGATTTGCTGTTTTTAAGGCTTTCTATCTTAAATACGTTTTGACTATATTCAAAGGCACAATTTCAGTTGACCTTTAAAACAAAAATTATTCAGATTTGCTGAACCAGCGCTACGATGTTTAAAGCAGTCTCAACCACCACGATCATGGTGTTTGACGCTGGTGATGAGCCCATGGTTTGATAGGGTAACTATGATCGTCATCCTTATCAACTGTATAACATTAGGTTGGCTGTTCTAGTCTCTAACCACAATTTTTAGTGCAAAATTTTATTTCTGTACAGGAATGTATCGGCCGTGCGATGACGGTCCTAGTTGCAACACATATCGCTGCAATATACTCGCCTTGATTGACCATGCAATATTCGCTTATTTTGCCCTTGAAATGGTAAGATTGAAGATGCTGTCACTTTTTGTTTGAAATTATCTTTATTAAGGTCATAAAAATTATTGCGCTCGGTTTTACTGGCCCAGCTGCGTACCTGTCGGATACATGGAATCGGCTCGATTTCTTTATTGTCATGGCAGGGTACGCTCTCATTCGGCAGATATACAAAAAAAAAGAAAATACGATTGTTGATCAAAATGAAGGAGATGTGCGCTTGTCTCTAGTTATGTAGAAGTGCAAAAGCAACATTATAATTAAAAATGGGCGCGACAGGGCACAGCGTGATAGTTTGTCATGCGATAGAAATCAATGTCATGAAGTTTTTAGCTCTCAGCTGTTCTATAAGTGCAATACTATTAGAGCTAGGCATGGCTTTCAAACACCCCGGAGAGAAGTCCACACTTAAATCTGCTATGTCAAAACCTAATATTGCATGGGAATGTTCTGCGGGGGAATACGCTGCATCACTTCTGGGACTAACTTAGCGGTCGAAGGGGAGAGGGATAGGATGAGGGGAAGGAGAGGTGGGAGATTTGAGGGGGGTATTAATGAAAGGGGAGGAGTAGCAGGTGGGATGTTAGCCCTAGTTGAAATCATGTGCTTTACCTTAGAGTATTTTAACCTGCGAGACGTTATTCAGGTATCCATCTTCTTCGCTTTTG